GAAAAGAAGGAAGACGAGTCGTTTTTTAATCCTATTTAAGGTGGAAACAAGGAAAACAATTTAGCATTTTACATTGTATACACGTGTACATAAACAATCGTCGAACGAAAGCAGTCATCGATGACGAGTCGATGAGAAAAAATATACGTTTATTCTTTTTTTCTTTTTCTTCCCCCCGCATTATTCGCGCGAGAACGAAGATGGCGTTGCGACGCGAGATGGAAGTTCTGTTTTATTTTTATTTTTATCGGTCGTGCTCCGTTACGATTTGCGTATCATTCGCGACGATATCCCCTCGAATCTCTAAGTAAAAAAAAGGAAAAAGAAAAAAAAAAAAGAAACCCGACTAAACTCTTTTTCATGTACTCTGCGTGCCAAGTTGTACTTCGAGTCTTTACAAACTCTTAAAAATAAAAACGAAACTACCGTTATATCGAGATGCATGTACAATCCGGTATGTCCTTGAATTTAGCAGTAAGGAAAAAACGAATTTCTCGAAACTTTTTACTCGTGGATAAATCAGGTGTGAAATACCTTTGTGTACATATACGTTTACAATAATTATCACGAGCGTAACCATGGTGTCGTCGTGGTGTCGCGCGCGAATCCGATGATTCGTCGAAATGGAATTTTATGAAAATTGAAAGAGGAAAATTTGTACTTGAGAACAAGATTTGATAATTTAACAATTCTTTTAAATCTTACTTATAGTTTTCTATATAAAATCGTATAAAAAAGTTGTTATTTAATAATAAAAATTGTTTTTTATCTATATAATTCTCGCGCGTCGTCTTTCACGAATCATCTCGCGCGGGCGCTACTCACGTATACTCGATTCGAATTTTCCAAAGGAAGGAAGGCAATGAAGATATATGTGAAAGAAAAAGAAAAAAACCATCGAAGTGGTCGCGTATACCTACATGCGTGAAAGATTCTTGTGTATATAATATACATAATATACGCGCGTTATTTATTATTTAATTTAATAAAACGGCCGCTTGCGACGGCGACCAACTCGTTTCGAAATGCTTGATCGAGAGAGAGATTGAGAGAGAGATTGAGAGAGAGAGAGAGAGAGAGAGCCACGTATTAATCGAAAATAAGGGGGAAAAGAAAAAGGTATCGCGTTGACACGTACAACTATAATAAAAGAAAAAAAAAAAAAAAGAAAAGGGAAAGATTTGTATAAAGAATTACGAGAACTAATTAATTAGTATAAATAATTAACTATCGACAATTAGATTGAATGTTCAATAATAATAAATCTAAATGAAGCCAAAATGAATTGTTAATAACTTTCAATCTTACTCATAGGTGTATGCGTGATCAGTTTTCGAAAATCTGACTTTTCGTTCAATCGATTTCGTGATTAACGACTCGATAATAAATAATTTTTACTTCCTTTTTTCTCGCGGCCTGGAAAAATTTATCATTTTTCATTCATCAATTTTTGTTAAAATTATATATTTATATTTTCGAAACCGTTTTCTCTCATCGTTTGCAACGTTTGTATTATTATTTTTTATATACGTAAACGAGAAATTATAATATCGTTATAAAAGAAGAGAACACGGCACACAACACGTTTTCATCGAGGAAAAACACGATTGCTATTTTATTTATGATATAAAGGTAAATGAGAGATACTTGTGTTTGTTGAAAATGTTTCTCAACTTGGGGGGAAAGAAAAATTCGGGTACAATAGTTGTAAGCGTATTCGGGGATACTTGAGATTATTATGATCGATACGAATTCGTTGTATAGAGAGCGAACGAGAGGATTTGGTGAAAAAAAAAAAAAAAAAAAGAAAAGAAAGAAAGAAAGGAAATGGGAGAATTCTGTAAAATACAATTAACGAAAATCTAAGCAAGAAGTAATCCGAACACCATTTATGAGTAAGAGCATAATTGACGAACGATATAATAAACGTAATAAAGACATATCATAAAAAGTATTAGTTTAATTGCCTGATATTGTAGAATTTATATGTAAATATGTTGCGTGCAACTTGGAACAACTTGGTTCTGAGGCGATGTAAAGTTTAATGAATTATTTGAGAAGAGGTTAGAAAAATGAAGAGGAGAAAGGGAAGGAGAGGAAGAACGAAGAGGAAGGAAGGAAAGAGTAAAAGAGACGACCGTGATTAGTTATCCTCACGTTTCCTCGTTTAATTCGTGTAAAGCTTTCCATTAATTCTATTCGTCGTAGAACAGATTTCATCAATTTGTATATAATAATCGAAGAAGAAAACCTTAAATGTCCTTTGTAAATTGTTATGTAATAATTGACTACGCACTAGTTAAATTCTATTATTATTCGCTTCTCGAGTATATACATTTATACTCTATACGTACGTATCGATTTGATTGATTGACGGCGCATTTACGTCGCGGGAAAGGAAAGTGAATCGTTCGTGTCGCGTTTCATGGTGCAGACAATTTTTGTAAAATTCTGTCGATCTACATAGTGTACGATAGTTGAACTACATCTACGGGAATTTCTCATTTTTTTCATGAACAAACTCGAATCGTTCTCTTTCGATCTCGATTCGAGACTCTTCGAGTCGCAAAAAAAAAGGAAGAAAGAAAGAAAGAAAGAAAGAAAGAAAGGAAGAGAGAAAGAAAAAGGAATCGATGAACAAATTTGTAGATTACTAGTGTAAAGAGAAAGCTTAAAGGTAAAGAGGCGAAAAAAATTTTTTCTTAAAAAAAAAAAAGGAAAACGAAACGACTAGGTGAAAAATGTTCTTAAAATGCACACACACAAACACACACACACACACACACACACACACACACACAATGCGCGCAATGTAAGAAGAAA